GACTTGGAAATGAGAAAGCTGGCAGCAAAGTGGATCCCCAAACTTTTGATAACCGAACAAAAGAGGAAACGTGTGGAGTTATCGGTGGCTGTTTTGGAACATTTTGCAAGAAATGAGTCAGATTTCCTGGGCAAACTAGTAACTGGTGATGAGACACGGATCTACTGTTATGATCCTAAGACAAAGGAATAGTCTAAGGAATGGAGGCACAGTGGTTCCTCCAGGCCAAAGAACTTCCGAGTGCAAAGGTCAGTGCAGAAGCAAATGGCAACAGTTTTTTTGGGATAAGAAGGGAGTTTTGCTGGTGGACTACCTCCAACAGGGTTCAACCATCAATGCAAAATATTACTGTGCTTTATTGACAAAGTTGAGGCAAAACATCAAGGAAAAACATCGAGGAAAGCTCTCCAAAGGTGTCATCCTGTTGCATGACAACGCCTCGTCATACACTGCAGGTAAAACAATGACAAAACTGACATCCTTAGGCTTTCAAGTGATGTCCCCTCCACCCTATTCTCCCGACCTGGCTCCTTCTGACTATTATCTGTTCCCCAAACTCAAAAAACACCTAAAGGGACGATTTGGGAGTGTTCAGGAGGCAACTAACGCGGCAAATGAGTGATTACACCAGCAGTCAGAAGAATTTTATTTGCAGGGACTTAAGCTGCAGGACAGATGTCGCAGGTGCATTAACTTCCTGGGGGAATATGTAGAATAGTGTGGCAGTTACAGTACAGCTTCTTAGCTCAATTTTTTCTGGGAAAGGCTCAATACTTATCAGCACCCCCTCATATCATATACTGAAGACATCTTGCTCCATTTTTTTAATAAATTGAATTTACATAGCTGCAAACTTCACAGACATAGAAATACCAAAAAGTTGAGTCTTGTGCAAGAAAGGACAGGTCAAAGCAACCAAGGTTGTGCAAGGTCAGAAACAACTCCATTTATCTTTGTGAAAGAGAAATATGATACCTATACTGAAAAAGTCAACTTATGCAAAACAAAACTTCAATTTTTCTAAAGGAAAAGGACTGTAAAAGAAGGAAAGTTAGAACAAAAAAAGCTGAGAAGGATATTATGAAATGTTTGTTTAGCACAAGTCCATTTTTTCCTCTCTGAAGCTTAGTCTAGCCAAGAAGAGGGACCACAGCTTAGTGCTGAAGCAAATGTTTTGGTTCTAGAAAGTCTCAGGCTCAATCCTGGATGTTTCCATTTAGGATCAGGAAACTATATTGCCTGAAACTCTGGAAATCCTATGCCACTAAGAGTGGCTAACATAGGGCTGTATGGACCCAGGTCTCATTCAGCATAAGGCTGTGTTCTTAGTCACAGAGAGGTTTTTACTTCTTAGATGAGGCATTAACTCTCAAGTAAACATGCCAGAAACCAGCTCAATGAGGTGCAAACTGCATAGTTCTACTTACTACACACACAGGCAGTCTAATGAACCAATATATATACACACACACTTTGAAACATAGGCCTTGGTAAGAACAAAAGAAAAATGTAGCATATGTGCAGAGTACTAAGTGAGTACTGTATTAGATCTGAACTGTAAACAGCTAGTTTCTTCATTTCTATTGGGACCATTAAAATGCCAGAGTAAAATTCTTTTCAAAAAACAGCATTAACTTGAGCTCCCCCTTGAAAACTCAGTGAAAAAGGACACTTTTCTTGAGCTTACCTTGGTCCAAGCTTTGCAAGAAAGGCACTACTGAAGGACCATTCATGAGGAACTAAATAAGGAAAAAAACCTAGCCTCCAAATATAATTCAATGGCTGAAATTCATTAGTTAGTTACAACTAGAGTAGGCCCACTGAATCAGTGAAAGTTTGGTGAGACAACATCTCTATAAATTCCACCGATTCAATTGGCCTATTCTAGTTGTAACTTACTATTGGATTTCAGCCAGCATATAAGATTGGCTACCTTAGAATCAGCAAGTGCCTGCATTTTAAATGACAACTAAAGTAGAAATTAAATTCTGTAGCCCCAAGGTCTCTGTCCTAACTGAAAAATGTAATGGCACCAATCACATTTAAGTATAAGTCACCTATAGAAACATCTAGATATTCAACAGAGTGATAAAAAAATTCTCTTACATTATGGAAAAAGATAAAGGAAAGAGAACATTAGCACCACTTACTCAAATGCAAAGAAGAGTCCACTAGTAACCAAGATAAGAACAAGTGTCAAGTAAAAGACTCCAGTCTGGCGTGCCATCATGATTCTTCCATTGCAAAAGAATTTGTTTCTTCCAGGAAAAACCTTCCATTTTCTCTTCAAAGCTGTTTTCTTCTTATGGGGAGACTCCATGGGAGAAGAAGAGCTGTGAGTACTGATCTGACTGTATTCACAGTCTTTCATGGGTCCACCTTCACCACTGCCAGGAGTCATGAAGGGAGAATAAAGGGGGGGGGATGCCCCTGCCAATAATCCTTGGCTCAGAGGTTTCCGAGAAGTTACTGCTTAAAATACGTTTAGTAGGGCATTATAAAATATCCAGTTAACTGCTGAGACCCCAAAGCTGTTACTCCAGAAGCAGTGCAGACTTTCCCATTTTTACGTTAATAAAAAAACATCCAAAAGAGTTCTTTATATGTACACATTTGTACAATAAAACAGAAACTAGAAAAGCTAAAATATAAATCAGCTGTCAATTAATTACAAAACTGAAAAATGATGCTTAAGCATGCTGCCTTCTAACAAGCTGCTCAACTTTTACAGGTATTTCATATCCACATCTTCAAAGATGTCAAGATTTGAGGCAACAAATGTTGTAAGTGACGAAATTCCCTGTCACACAGGCTTGCTAAGTACTTTTATACAGAACATAATTTTTTAAAAAAATTGTAATTCCTATGTATTTTTCCAAACACATAAATGACCCAGATCCAAGTTCAGCAGCTGAGAAACAATACATAATATCCATTTTTTGGGAAGATTCTGTAATTCATTATGAGTTGTTCTTTTATCCTTCTCCCCTCTCCTTTGCTGTCCTGAAATGACAACACAGATTTCAATTTTCTCTCACTAGGGGAGGAAAGGCTTTCCATGCATGAAAAAAATGTGATCAATATCCATCTCTGGAAAAAGATTTCATTTTCATATGGTGATAAATATCCTCTTTACTCTCTTTCAGAAAAATTGTTTAGGAGGGGGAAGATGCAAGGAGACTGTTTCACACTACTCTTGTCTTAAATTCTACCCTTTTCTTCTTTTCTCTTCCTCTTATCGATTTAACTTTTGCAACTTTAAATAAGCAAATAAGGGAGTTGCTCTAGGCAACTCATTCCGGCTGAGAGCCAGGCAGAAGTCCAAGTCGGTCAGAAGTCCAAGGTACCGGGGATGCTTTTTCCAGTCCAGAAGGTATCGGCTGGCATCCCACCTCCTTTCCTCCAAATAGGCGGACCCCAGCAAAGCTGCGCCGCACCAGCTCCCTTCAAGCGGTCCTTTCCCCCTGAAGTCAGAATCAAAAACGTCGACGAAAGCAGACGGCAGCGCTTGGATTTTTTTTTCCCGGCCGCCTTATCTATCTAGGCTTATCCCCGGCCGCCAGTCTCAGCAGAAGCTGCCACCTTTTCCTTTTCATCGCCAACGCGTAACGTGTGGAAGAGAGACACCGCCTGGATCAGAAGGACGATCTCCTCAGCCCCAGCCCCCCCCTTCTCTCGCTTTCCGCTGTCAACGCGCCCCCGTTCAAAAAGCAGAAGACGGCGACGGCCCAGAGAGGAAGAGCAACCCGCAGGCAGGCAGGCAGGCAGACGTCGGCAGAAGCGTCGCCGTCAAGCGCAGCAGCACTCCCCCCGTTTCTGCTCCGCTCCCGCCGTTTCTCTAGCGGCGCAGGGAAGGCGGCGGCGGCGGGGGGACGACGACGGAGGGACGGTTTCTTAATGCCCAGGTCGGAGGGAAAGGAGCCTTTCTGTCCGGACAGCCCCTGCGAGAAGCTGGGTCAGGGGGGAAGGTCACCCCAGGTTCACTCAGACCCGTGGCCGCGAAGGGAGTGCCCGCCTCCGCCTCCGCGGGGCTTGCCTTTCGGTTTCATGGTCACAGGCAGGCGCTCGGCGGAAAGTAACTCTGCTTCTCGTCCTCCTCCCCCTCCTCCGCGCCCGCCTCGCAGGGCTCCTCTCCGCCGGGAACGAAAGGAGGAAAGAAGGAAGGAAGGAAAGGCGACCGCCCCAGTCGCGCCGGGTGCCTCCGCCGCCTCGCCTCAAGAGGAAGCCGCGGGCAGCCTTTGTTCGTTCCCTTTGAACCTTTCCACGCTACCCCTCCCCAGCCCCCGCTTCTCGTCCTTCTCTCCCGTCAGCCCAGCGGCATCGGAGGTCGACTTCGGCGCTCGCCCTCTCCCAAGCCGCTTCCCTCAAGAGCAGCAGGCGGCAGCAGCCAGCGATGCGAATGTCTTCTGACAACCCCCAAGCGGCAGCAACAGGAACCGCCGCCTCTTGCGGCACCGGGTGCTTGCTCTTCCCCTTTCGTTCCCGCTTCCCCTTGCTCCGGCCCCTGCCCCGCCCCGCCTCGCCTCGCCCTGCCTCACCCTGGCCCTCAGCTCCAAGGCGCAGGAAAAAAGAGACCGCGGCACACGCGCCGCGCTAAGGTGAAATCACCTCAGAGAAGGCGCAAGGGCCCGCTTCCCTCCAAGGGGGTGTCTCCCCCGCCCCTCACACTCTCGCCCTCTCTTGGCCTTCTGGGAAATGTAGTCCGTGGTTTCTTCCGCGTGTAAATGCCACATAAACACGAGGCCGTCCGCTTCGCTAAGGGAAGGGGAGGTTGGGAAGGAGGGAAGAGGGCCTGGACTACAAGTCCCAGACTACCCGCGACGCTGCCCACGATTCTCTGGTCATATAGAGACAGTACTGTAAAGGAAGTCAAGTGTGTGGTGGAAGTGGAAAAGGAGAGAGGCGAACAATTAAGCCATTACTGGTGGGGGTGGAGAGGGGGTATACTTTCAATTAATCTGTAACATTACGATGAATAACTGTTAAGAATAATGATAAATTAGAGCTTCTCCTTCTAAAAGCTGATGCATCTTAGGTAAAGGTTCCCCATCTTACTTAGTAAGAATCCCATTTCAGTTCCCTATCTCTGTTGTATACTAACATCCTATACAGTAACTTCAGATATAACCTGTGTGTATTAATTATACTTGCAATGAACCAATGGCTCCACTTGTTCAATTTAAAAGTTCAATTTACCAGCAGTAAAACATACTTTAAATGCTTGTTACTTTAAAGGTCTCCAATAGTTCTGATAGTTCTGTCCCTTTCACTGCTAACACAAGGCCATCTTTTGTGTTTAGTGCTAGTGAAACCTATACTGTGTCATGGACTTCATGTAACTGTTTTTATGGTGGAGTTGGTTAGCTGATTTTATGATTTTTAAAATTGCATTTTATCATTTTTTTTTAATTCTAAGGAGTTTATAAACTATCACAAACACTATTTTTAGTGGAAAGATGTGGCATAAAAGCAATAAATAAATAAATGGTTTTCAGAAGCTGTAATGCTCATGTGAAAAAGGTGACTGGTGTTAGTCATCTTGAATTCTTTGGCTCAGAGTGAAGTGTAAGCTAGAAAAATATCCCAGTTCAAGGCTCTTGCCCTCTGTTGCTAGGTCCCCAAATTTCCTCTCTCCTTCCAGACCTATTTATTTAGCAAGTGTTCCTGAATATGCTGCCCATAAGGAGGAGAGAGAGCACTTTTGTTCCCCAAGGTCTTGCATGTTGTGTTGCTGCAGTCCACAACAGACACAGTTTTACTGAATACAGTAGAGATACACTACAAGTACTGTACAACTCTTTGCAGGAGATGTCTACTATGGACACTGTGGTACACTACAAGTACTGTATAACTCTCTGCAGGAGATGTCTACTATGGACACTGTGGATGTCCTCTTCTTCTGTCCTCTATCCCATTCACAGGACTGATTGTGATAGTAGCATTATCTCAAGGTTAGGACCTCTGAAATCTGTCAGAGAGAACAAGGAAGAACACAGCCATGTTTTAACAGGGAGCTGGCAGATAGAAGAAATGTGGAAGCTAGAGAAACGGAATATCAGGCACAAAATTATTGAATTTTTACTGAAATTATAACCTGAGTGGTGATGGTGTCATCATAACAAACGATGGAAATCCACTGCATAATTGGCTTTGTGGTTTGTTTTTTTTAACATTAGGGCTCTTTGCATGTATGACATCATATTTGGTTAGCCATGGATCCTTTTAATATAGTAATGTGGTAGTATATTCTCATATTGCTTTTATTGCAACAAGACCTTGAAGAGCAAAGGAAGAAAAGTATGTGACAGGAAATGTAAAGCAAAAATTTCAGTTTGAATCTTAAGAGTATTTGGAGAGCCACAGACTATTGAGCATTAGCTCTACACAACATACAGTTATAAAAAAAATATCCTTGTTTTCAGAAATAAATATATGTTACATACACATCAACTTTAATGTGTCAAATCAGCATGAGAAAAAAACTTGGATTTGTCTCAGATTGGTACTGATGAAATGAGAGAATCTGCAGAAAATATTAAATTAGGAACTCTATCCTGTCATTATTCTGTGTTAGCTCTACTGGTGGTAAAATTAACTACAATACAGTACGTACTTCATCTTCTACTTTATCTATAGATGTTTTAGTTACTATGGTAACTGATAAAGGTTATACATTCCATGCATACTGACATGTGAGTAAACCCACTGAGCTCAGAAGACATTATTTCCAAAAGCAGATATAGATATGTTAGGTGATATAGAACATGTAGTACAAGCCATTTTGATGCTTATCATAAAAATGAACTATGCAATACCTAATTTTTATCAGGTTACCATAATGCTGTGAACCTTTGCAACTTGTTTATGGAGTACATAATTTATTTTACCCTCCCAATTTATAAAAGTAAATCCTCGTGTTTTTTACATAAGATTTTTGTATATGTTCTATCTATCTAATCTATCTAATCTATCTTATCTATCTATCTATCTATCTATCTATCTATCTATCTATCTATCTATCTATCTATCTATCTATCTATCTATCTATCTATCTATCTATCTATCTATCTATCTATCTACAACCCTATCTATCTATCTATCTATCCCATCCATCCATCCATCCATCCATCCATCCATCCATCCATCCATCCATCCATCCATCCATCCATCCTGCCCATATAGATAAATCTACTCTGGGCGGTTTACAGTCCAAAAGAATTTATAAAAGTTTACAATCAAATTAAAAACATCAATTTAATGTAACCTAAAACAAGCAAATATAATCCAAGATGGAAAAACCAGGGGAAGAAATTAAGTAATGTCAGGAGGTCTTAATGTGGCCTTACATTAATGGGATTCATTAAAAACGTTATTTAAACAAAATTATACAACTGATTAACGTGTGCTTCTATTAGCCACAATATGCTACTCACATAATCAATGTGGACTAGATCCAGTCATAGTCATATTTAGAATTATTAAAATAATGAGACTTATGTTAGTCACGACTAACTTAAGCATCATTTTTTCAAGGGGGCTCCTATAAGTAGAGTAAAATAAAAAAAATTGGATTTGAACTGTGTCTAGCAAGTTGTAATTCATTTTTAATGCATCTACATTATGTAGGTACCCCATCCCCACGAGAGACTGACTGTCTATTCTTGAAGGAGGCAAGGGGAAAGCCAGAGGTGGGAGAGGTACAGGAATGGAAAAGTGATGAGCTGTCTTTGGGGAAAAATGTATTTGAGAAACAGATCATCATGGATCCACGATTCTTCTGCAGTATCATCCACAACCACTCTTAATCATAGGCACCATCTCTGCCAGAAATTGGACAGTGGCTTGGTGCAGATCCCATGTTAAAATCATGTAGCTTTATGAGGATCCATGCTTGGAACAGTGTTTTTGCACCACTATAAAGCCATGCACTCTTCATTTTTGTGGTGTATTCTGTGGGTACAAATGGGACTTATGATTTGACATTGTTTTAAGACATATCAAGTTTTGCAAGCTCCCTCCTTGCCTCTTTGCAGACATCCACAGTCCATTCTAGGTTGGCGTTGTTAGGAGCCGAAAAGGGCCTGAATATTTTCAGGACCCATGCACTGGCTTCTTTCTCCTAGTCCCTAGAAGCTCTTTTTCTCTATGCCTCCTTTCCAGAATGTTGCTTCTGTCTGCCTCCCAGGAACAGCTGGGACATTCTTAAAGGGACAGAAGTAGCCAAGATTTCTTGTGACAAACAGCTTTGCCAGGAGACTCTCCCTCACCACAGCAGCAGGGGCAAATAGCCAGTATGACAGCATGGCAGGAAACTGCAGGACAAAGTCTCAAACACAATGATTCTAAAATCCAGTGTAGCCCCATCAACAGAGATACAACACACCTTAAAATAGATTAAAAGTTTCCCCAAGAAGATGCACGCACCGACCCAAATAACACGTGAGTACCACATTAATGTGATTTCAAAAACCATGATCCAGCTACTATTTTCATTTTCAAAGTGTAACTCTGTCTTAAGTCTGGTTGCAACTTAGAGAAAATGGATTGGCTATGTGGCATGTTAACCATGTATTTCTTTAATTTGGCAGCAGTTTGTTGCAGCTATAATGGCACAAATACAAATGCAGAATGTAGAAGGGGATACAAATGTGTTTGCTGCAAGCAGAGGGGCATCTTGTCTCATTGTGCTACTATTGTCACTTTTGTACCAGATTTTTCATCTCAGCGAAGAGCATATAATTAAATTGTAAGTACTCAAATAATACTAAATTCAGAGACAAAACAAAATCTCTTACCTTTTTCTTTGTTTTCTTGTCCTAGCAATAGTGGAGTGTTGCAATTAATTGCACAAAGAAGTCATCAATTTGAAGAAGAAAAAAACATTTTACCAGCCCATCTGTCCACAACAATAATTTGTTCTACACCAATGTCTGTAAATGGAGGGGGAAAAAGCAAATGTTCATCTATGTAATAAAAGTTCCTTTGCCAGGAAGCAATTTCCCGTACAAATCTGCAACCAGGCTTGCTGAACTTCTTTGAATTGCCTCTTTTCACATTTGGATAGTTTGCAACTGAACAATAATATGTTTGTTCCAACAAATCACTCCCTGCCTCAGCTGCTGAAATAAATGTCTACAATTCAGGTCAGCATGGAACAAAATTAAAAAAATAGGTGGATGGAGCGCAGCAAACATTCAGTAGGTGCCTGTTTGCTAAAGGAGGAGGAGTATACATTTAAAAAAATCCACACTTCATCTTGTATGGAACAATCTATAGTAAGAAATTTCACTGGAGACAAAAAATCTATGTGAAGTAGATTTCTAGTTTGAATTATTTTTTAAACAGGTAATTCTGATAGGATAATTTAATAGGGGATGAAGATAAATCAAATGCCATGGATGGAAGAAAAAAGGGTCTGTCTGTAAATCCAGGAGGTCGTGGATGTCCAGGGGAACTCACTAAAGTGGGAAGGGGGTGAACCTAAATTATAGATTGAGTATGAATTGGTGTTTTTTTTTAATACTTGGAGGATGGATTCCAATTTGAAAAGAGCTTCTCAGGTTGTACTGTATATCAGCAGCTGCTAGAGGCTTGGGAGGGAAACATAGTGGGTGTGGCTAGGGGTAAGCTTTACAGTTTTTACTTTTTCTCACCAAAGATGAAAACTGCAAAACCTGTGAGGTGCACAGGTAAATTCTATGCAACAAGATAGTGTTTGAGAATAACCTTAGAAACATATTTCTCTGTGCCTATGTACCTCTTGTCCATCTGTCGTAAGAGCTGCTAGAGAAGATCTGTGCTAGGGCAGAACAAGCAATATTCTGAATAGATATTTTATTTTTATTTAAAATATTTTTACCCTACCTTTCTCCTTAAGAAGGATCCAAGGTTGCTTATACTGTATTCTTAAAAGACAATATTTAAAGCTAAAAACAAGTATACAAAGATTTAAAAGGATCAAACCAAAATACCACACAAAAAGATGGTAAACAGAAGCACCATCAAAACACATTCAAAGCAGTAAGGCACAACAATCGATTTAAGAACCCCACTCGGGCAGCCAGTCATTCAAGCAGAGCTTGCCTGAAGATAAACTGTTCATGTGCTTGCAGAAGGACAACAAAGATGAGGCAACCTGTGGAGGGAGTGTCAAAGCCTGGGAGCAACGACAGAGAAGGCCATCTCCTGTGTTCTGACCAAACAGGAGTGTGAATGTGGTGGGACAGAGAGAAAAGCCTCTCCTGATGATCTTAACACCTAGGCAAGCTTATAAAGGGAAACATGGTCCTTGAGATAGCTTGGGCCTAAACCATTTAGGGCTTTATACTGTAGGTTAGAGCCAACACCTTGAACTGTGCCTGGAAATGGATTGGCAGCTAATGGAGCTGCTATAATGGGGGTGATATGATCTCTGTGACCAGACCCAGTTAGCAATCTGGCTATCATGTTTTGGACCTGCTGAAGTTTCTGAACACATTCCATAGGCAGCCCCACATGTATAGTGTGTTACATTATCTAATTAAGGCATGTGCCATTATGGCCAGACCTCCAGGAATTACTGCAGTGGGTGCACTCATTTTAATTATGCAAAGGGACTCCTGGCCACTGCCAAAACCTGGACATCTAGGCTCAGAGACAAATTCAGGAGGACCCCCAAACGGTATGCCTGTGATTTCAGATGGAGTACA